TATTCTTTTTGCCCCTTCCTTCCAACTTCCCTAACACTTCACCACATGCACAATTTTTTCTTTTTTTTTAAAAATTTCTCCAAGAAATTCAACAACAACAACAAAAATGCAGTGCAGTGCATCTATTAGATGTTGCAGTCACGCAAAATGATACAGTCCCTCAGTGTTCCATTGCTACTTTGATTTGTTTGATGAATGATATGGATGAGGCACAGTATGTGTGTCATTTTGAACTTCCAATTGATATTATCAGCGAGCAAGTGAGCATGAGCTGTGTAATAGGGCCACTCGGGGACCTTAATCGCCATGCACATACGTCAACAGTTTTATTATGCCCATGAAATTGAATCGCTCCCCTTCCCCGGCCTCTGCCTTTCGATGCTGTTGGATCTGCGAGAACCGACAATTATTGAGAAGCGTCAAATGAAAGCCAAACTCATAAGCAACCTTTAAAATCATTTCCGCCTTACCTAATAAAAAACTATCAGAATGCGTAAATTTCAAATCGTTGGGAGAAAAGGATGGAAGACAAGATGGGAGGCAGAGAAGCTAAATTTCAAAGCTAGATTCCCTGATGCTTCGGGAAAGAAACGCACAGGCTTTAAGTTGAACGGATGTCGCCATTCGAGCGTGCACAATTTAAAACTCGAGGAAATTTCCGTCTTACGTGAGAGAAGAAAAGGAACCTCGATGTACTGGTTGCAATTCCTTCGAATTCCCTTTCATCAATCTGCAGGACTTTGATTGGCGGCGAAGTTGACGGGCTGCTGGAATAGAACCGATCCAGGCCCTTGCTTATATCCACCGCTCTTGGCCTGCAATCTACTGCTTTCGCCGGGCAATCTCTCTGTAGTCGGTCCATCCTTCCCAGCCATTTCAAATCCGGATCTGCTTTAATGCGCTCACGCCAACGTTCTGCGGACTGCAACTTTAAAGATTCACGGAAGGGAAGAGCTGGATGCAGGTAGAATTCACTTAAAAGAGCCGAAAGTAGGTATTTCAGAGAGGCGATAGTTTAGGGATAAGAACGAAGAAACCCAAAAAAGACGGAAGAAGGTGTGGCCGGCTAAAAAGCACAATCACTAAATCTGACGATTTGTAGCATCAAAATTAAACTTTCAGCTTATGGCATTTTTATGTGAAATTTATTACAGAACTTATTGCAAATGTTATAATTTTATGAACAAAAAATTTACAAGACATTACATCATAAATTATAAATAAAATAAATAAACCACAAATAAAAAACATTACAAAATTTATTTAAAAAAGAGACTAATTATTACAAAATGCCACAAATTTATTTCAAATGTGGTGACCCACTTCGGTGAGTTGGCGCTTGCGTAATTCAATTGCTCTCCTGTTGCCGTTCGACGGTTCCACATCGATGACGGTACTATCCATAAACTGAAAATTCACTGCTCTTGCAACTGTTCTAGACAGATAAAATAGAGATTTTATTTTAGCTTCCCCTGGCATTTAGCAAAAAGCAGTTAAGTGTTCCTCCAGCGCTGTCTGTGCAAATCGTGCATTTTTTGATAACTAATTTTAAAAGGCGGATTATGGCGCGGCATTTAACATTTTTAGATAAAACAAGGGAAAAGACAGAGCAAACACATCTTCGGTTCCAAAACCTATACAAAAAATGCTGCATAATGAAATCACTCATAGAACAATGGAAATCGAAATGAAATTTCATACTATTTCTTTTGGACATATTTCATGCCATTTCTATGACCACGTCAAAATCAGTTCACAGCACAGTAATAATATAAGAATCGCTAACTACCAATGCCCTATTGGCGATCCCAAACAATCTGGTTTTTCTGGGCAAATCCTTCACCCAGTTCAGCCTAGCACGGCAACCTGTCCACATGGAACATCAGTTTTCAAAAGCAAAATATCTATGTTGCATTGTTAGACGAAATTCGACCTGGAACTGCTCCTGCTGGCTAAGAAGTGCTGTGATTCGCGTTTTATAGTCCACAAATACTATTTATAAAAGCAATCTGGAAAGCCATTCTTAGACAATGATATATCAGGGTACGGGTATGAGAAGGAAGGGGGACAAAATACTCATTAAGCGTTCTTGCGTATATGCAAGTCCAAATACACATATTGTGACGACCCATGGTGTACGTGCATATACATGTTCGTGCGTGTGTGTGTATGTGTATGTATGTATGTGTGTGTTTGTCGGGGTATTTCAACTCGGCAACCAGGCACGCTCCGGCGCAAAAAGTTTGCCAG